CCCGGCCCGGGCACGCGGCTGGAGCGCGCAGCTGGCCGGCAGTCCGCGGGCCGCGAGCCTGTCGCCCACCCGGGCCTCCGACGCCTTCGCCATGAGGGTGCGGCTGGAGGAGACCGGGGAGATGTTCCGCGTGACCAACTGCCGCAGCGACATGACCGTGCGGGAGCTCAAGGAGGAGCTGGACCTCGTGGTTGGCGTCCCCTTCAACCTCCAGCGGCTCCAGTACCTGGACCAAGGTGGCCCCTGCCCCCGCCACAGCCCTCCTCCCACCCAAGGGCCACCTAGCCCAAATCTGAACCGGAAGTCCCAAGGGGAAGCTGCCTACCCGAGGACTCCCAAACCCTTTTAGTCAGGACTCAGATCTCAAAACAAGTGTACCTTCCCTCTCAAAACCCCAGATCCCTTGGCCATTTAGGAACGTCCCAGTCCCTCACAAACCCCGTTCACATTAGACCCTAAATCTCAAGGCAAGCCCTGTCCACAGCAGGGTCTTCATCCACAAAAGAAATCCTGCCAGTACCAGGACCCCAGTCTCAAGGCAGACCGTCTCCATCAGAGCTGCCCACGCTGAGCAAATCTCACCTGCAACAGGACCCAAATCCCAAAGCCGGCCCCGCCACAGCAGGACCCCTGAAGCCCAGATCCCACGCTCCCCATGTCTTCATAAGGACCCCAAGTCCCAAAGCCAAACATGTCCACATCGGACTGCAAAGCTTGAAATAAACCCTGTCCTTAGCAGGCCTCCAAAACCCAGGGCAAACTTTCTGGCAAGGACCCCAAACTCATTGCAAACCTCAAATCCCCAAGATGAACATTGAACATCACAACCCCAACTCCTCCAGTCAACCATTTCCATGCAAGGACACCAAGGCCTGAAACAAACTCTGCCTACCTCAGGACCACCAAACCTACAACATAACCTGCCTCAGAGTGAACCCCAAATCTTAAACTGGCCGTGACTCTCTCTGAACCCCAAATCCTCTGGTACCTTTGTCCACACAGGGATGCCAAAGCCTGAAACAAACCTTGCCTACCTCAGGACCCCAAAACCCACAATGTACCTGCCCCAGACTGAACCCCAAATCTTTAAGTTGACCATGACTCCCTCTGAACCCCTAATCCTCCAGCACCTTTGTCCACACAAGGATGCCAAAGCCTGAAACCCTGCCTACCTCAGGACCCCAAAACCCACAACACATACCTGCTCCAGACTGAACCCCAAATCACTAAGCTGACAATGACTCCTTCTGAACCCTGAATTCTTCAACAAATGTACAAGAATGCCAATGCTTAAATCCTTCCCCAGTCCTCAGACTGACCATGTGAATATTAGAACCCCAAATCCTCTAGCAGCTGTGTCCACACGGGGGCATCTGAGCCCACCTCAGGACCCCAGATCTCAAAGCAAACCCTGCCCATACTGGAACCACAAATCCCCGAGCTACCCTGGCTACAACAGAGACCTAAATTCCAGAGCCAACTCTACCCACACCATGACCCTAAATTCCAGGGCAGATATGCCCAATTTTGAGCCCCCAATCTCCAGACTAACTGAGCATCAGAACCCCAACAGCCAACTCTGTCTACATGAGGATGCCAACATCCAAAATGAACCTTGTCCACGTCTGGACCCCAAAACTCAAAGCAAACTCTGCCCATATCTAAAAGCCAGCCCCCCCAAGCTCACCGTGACTACTGCACATCTGGACCCCAAAACTCAAAGCAAACTCTGCCCATATCTAAAAGCCAGCCCCTGCAAGCTCACCATGATTACTCCAGAAGCCCAACCTCAAAGCAGAGTGCCCTCTTAAGGACTCCAAAACATGAGACAAACCCTGCCCACATCAGGACTCCAAAATGCAAACTAAGCCTACCAGTATCTGAATCCTATACCCTCACACAAACCCTGTCTCCCTCAGCTCCCCAAAGTTAAAGCTAATTGTGTTCATGTGAGGAAAGCCAAGGTCATAGCAAGCCTTGCCTACATGAGGACCGCCAAACTCAAAGCAAACTGCTCGTATTTGAAACTCAAATCCCTTAGTCAACCTTGTCCACATCAAAACCCCAAATTCCAGAGCAAAGCCTGCCTATATCAAGACCCCAAATCTCAGAGAAAATCCTGTCACCATCAGGACCCCGAAATCCCGGGGCAGACTTGCCCTGTTCTTGTCCCCCAGTTGCCACGCTGACTGTGTCTACATCAGAACCCCAAATCCCCAAACAAGCCCCTCCCACAAAAGGACTCCAAATCCCAGAACAAACCCTTCCCGTGCCAGTACCCCCAAACCCAAAGCAAACCTTGCCTTCATCAGAACCCCCAATCTGGAGCAAACTCTGCCCTTGTCAGGACCCCAAATCTCAAACCCTATCCACATCTGAACCTCAAGTACTGGCACTGACCCAGGCAGTCTCAGACCCAGGTCCCCAGCTATGTTCTTGTTCACATCAGGAGCCCACAGCTAGCCCAGCCAGAATCAGAACCCAGCACCCAAGGCTCCCCGTGGCTAAGTCAGGACCCTGGAGCTCCCTGTCCAGACAAACCCCACATGGTGGTTGCCCAGTGGAGGTTAAGGATCCTAGAGCCCGTCTCCTCATCAATCCCCTTCCCTAACCTAAGGACTGTGGCTGTCCCTGTCCCCTTTCCCTACAATATTTAGGATATGAGAGCAGGAGCAAAGCCCCTGGGCTCCATCATCTTCCCACCCGGTTGAAATCAACGCAAAATACTTCAAGAAAATGAAAATATAAAAAAATCTCTGGGCTGCTGCACAGAGAATGTGAACAGCTGATATTGCAGAGAGACTGCAGTGGTACTGCAGGGGCCGGGAAGTGATGGAGACAGACTGAGATCTGAGAGCCGCCTGTCTCCACACCCTGCCCTCGCCCCAACTGCCTTCCTAATCCGTACAGCAGAGCCCTTTCTGTGAGCGGATGCTCGGTCCGAGTCCCCCTATAGATAGGATGCATACAGAAGGCCAAAATACCTTCCCTTGTTCTCTTTCAGATAGGCTAAGTATTTGTAACGATACCCTTTTTTTTCCTATACGAGTATTTGAAAGATGCATCGAGGCATTTCTGAGGCTTCATTTGGAAAGAAATGTACTGTATACTGAGCCTAGTCTGTATTTAACATGTTAAAAATGAAGTGAATTACCAAAGGACTCAGTAAGAGTTCCAAAACAAGTAATTTGAAAATTATGCACCCTGAACTGCACATGTCTGGCACCCCTGGTGCTAATTTATTTACACGGATGAGCTATGCTGAGCAATAAATTCAGGAAAACTAAGAGGGAGTGAAGGAGATGGGGTAACTTAACACTGATGTCACAATCCTATCACTCAACAAGCACTTAGCAACTGCGAGAAGGTTGACCCCTCTCTGCTGTTGCAGTCCTTACTGTTGATGGCCAGCGAGAGAGAAGGTGCTACCATGACATTGTTAGAAGAAATTTAGGCTGCTGCCTCTAAATGATCAGATAGCACCTCTTCTGCCCCCTCCAAGGTTGTGTGTGGAAACCTTGAGACGGACCCATCTGAAGGGAGTTAGCAGATTCGTATACTAGGATCAACTTTACACGTCTCTTGCTAACACTAATAATTTATTTAGCTGGTGATAATTAGTATTTGTCTAAGCCGAAGGCAGTTACTGCCTGCCTGTGCAAAGAGCATGTGCTCTGATTTCTGTAAGAAATACTCTTGTATTTCTCAGGGAAACGCAGCTCTACTCAGTATTTTCAGACTCGTTAGGGAGTGAAGTTGTCTTACTTAGACTGGTTACTGATTAACCTTCATGTTAGAACCACACATAGGAGTTTACTAATCAGTATTCCCTGTCTACATCCACCCTCTTGAGCTCTGGTAACCCAGTGGTGTCAACCAAGAACCGAGTGTGAAAAGAGAGAGGTGCTGAAGGGAGGCAGGCCTGGGTGCAATCCAGCTTACTAGCTGTGAGAGCCACTCCCTAGCCACAGGAGCCTCAATCTGCTCATCAGCAAACGGAGATACGAACCTGTCTCTTAGGGTTGTCATGATGATTAAAGAATGTAGGTAAAGTACTTAGTAGGAAGCACTGAAGTACCTAGAAATAGTACTGAATTACTTAGCACAAGTACTGAAGTACTTAGCACAAGTACTAAAGTACTTAACACAAAGTAATCATTTGATCATGAAACCAAGACATTTATAAATTCCATTCACTTGGAATATGTGATCATCCAACCTGGGCAGAGCTAAAACTTTACCTTTGTGGCATTGCTTATGAGAAAAGCAAATTATACCATTATTCTCAAGTGAGATTATAGGTGGCCATGTAAGACAATGTCTATGTGTGTGTGTATTTAAAAAGGTAAACTAAATACAACTATACTTTTCCTGAAATATTCTATAATTCCCTCCTACTAATTCTGAAGGTCTTTCCTGGAGAGTATGAATTTATGAAGTGTGAGTAGATCCACTATCCTTTCTGAATAAGGTTATGCCATAGACGAAAGGAGCAGGAACACCACAAGTTCAAATGATGGTGAAGGTCAACATAAGATTCTGACATTGCCATAGGTTCTCTCTCAACTGGGGTGATTTTGTCAATGTCTGGAGACATTCTTGTTCCTCATGACTGGGCAAGGGATACTATTTGCCCCTAGTAGCTAGAGACCAGGGATGCTGTTAAACATCCTACAGTGCACAGGACAGCCCCCTCCCCAACAAAGAATTACCCATTTCCAAACATCAACAGTGCCAAGGTTGAGAAACCCCACCGTAGGCTACGATTTGGAAGAGCCAACAAATTTTTGTCATTGTTATCCTTTTAGCCAGCTAGTGACGACAATACCCAGAGTTAGTACTTTAGTTCAACGTATATAACTTGTATAACAACATTGTGCTGTGTCTGTAATATATAGTTCAAGTTTAAGTAGTTCCGTTTGTAAAGTTTGCCTCATAAAATGACTTTACCGACTTGTGTATTTTTTCACAATAGGACAAGTTATAATTACAGAATTTTATAAATCGTTGCCATTGGTTTTTTTTTGTTTTGTTTTTGTTTTGTTCAGCTTCTATCTGAGATGAGCCAAATTAATTTTCTAAAAAGCATTAACGACAAAGCACAGGCTCGTGTGGAATCATCAAATGAGATTGGTGTTCACGGTTCTAAAATTATCTTTGCGGTTTCCAAGGTCAGATAATCTCTTAACTTAACCAGTGTTAATAGTTTATCTTTAATACCCTTTTCTTTTAAAAGAAAAATTATTCCCTGTAGGAGTTTTGATGGATGACGCTACATTAAAGTTCCATGATGTTGTTCCTGGTGGAATTATTTCATTATGTATCTGGCACTATGATGGATGGACAGAACTGGTTTTGGCGTCTGTGGAAGGGGACCCCAGTAAGGTATTTTCTTGCTTCTTTAAATGGGGATTATACTTTACGAAGCAACTTAAATTGTGGGGGGAAACACCACTGAGTCTTTCATGTGAATATCTGAGCAAATAAAAGTTTCAGAGTAGGGAAAAAGATAACAAGGACTCATGTCCTAATGATCAAACCCTACATCAGGTGTTTCTAGTCACTCTGTCAGTTTGTGGTTTCACCATATGGGCTTATTTATGATTCATAACCCACCCCAAAGGAATCCGGCAGTGCATATTCTATTCATGTGTATGTTTTGTAAAGTTGAAAACCCAATTTGACACTTAGTGAAGAACTGCAAATGCAAATGGCTTGGAAATGCACAGTCCCAAGCTGGTCTTCGTGTGCAGGGCTGGGATGGTGCAAAGATGGGAAACCCAGGCAGAGGGGCAGTGGGCACTGCCAGGCCTTGTGCTCGGTTCTCAGCTGGGCTCGGGATGAGTGTGGGGTGGGGGGTTGGCGGCAAAGAAAACATCGAGTATTTACCCAACAGTGAGGATGACTCACTTTCATAAGAGGTGGCATAGATGTTATAGAACATCTTTCTATAAAAGGTTCAGACAAAAGGCTATGAGGTTGTAGAGGAAAGGAGATAAAGTCTACTTCCGGCTGGGAAAGTGGTCAGGGAAGGCAGGGTGCAGGAGGGGTGTTGGGCTGGGCCTGGGAAGGGTGGGTGGGCGATGCAGGAGCAGGGCTGGGATTGCACCGACCCATCTGTTTGTGTGCATCAGGCCCTGGAAGGAAACGTGGGTCCCATGCCAGCTATAAGCGCAGTCTTTCCATTCTTTCTCCACTTTCTCTCCTTTTCACCCTCCCCAGTCTTCTCCTACCAGTGGTTGAGTCCATCCTGGACATGGGTCAGGATTGTCATCTCCCTTGTCTCATCCACTCCTACATTCTGCTCCTCCCACTGCCCTCACACCTGACCCCAACATCTGGCACAGAGTTCCTCCTTGATAGAACCCATAGTCTTCCTCCCTTGCCCAAAGATGATTATCTTACGGGGCCATTATTCATCTGTGAGTGGAGTTCAGAGTGTTCCAAAAATTAACAGAGACAATGGGTACAAAAATAGATCGGAAGGTCAGAATCCACCAAGCCTCCAAAGAATTTTGTTCCCCTCTGGGGAGGCCATTTCACGTAGGCTGGTGTCTTCCTTAATGGCCAGAATCACCTTCCTCTGGACACCCAGAAAAGCTATTTTCTGTCTTCAAAACATCGACAGGAAGAATTTCCTGCCTCCCAAGCCTGACGGGTGGTAAATTAATATTTCCTGAACATGCATAGAGCATTAAACAATGTCCTCCCCAATCCTTCCCTGGGTATTTTCCAACCTTTCAATTAGGGTTTGCACCTATCTGTTTCCATCATGGGCCTTAATTTGGTGTTAGAATGAACCTTCTCCCAAGAAGGTCCAGTCATCCATCTAGCAAAATATTTCTCTACTTCTCAAGAGAAACTTGAACTCACAATATGGTAATCCATTTGTCTTGCCCAGCTATCATGTCTAGGTATTACTGAAGATTCTTTCTACCGAACTGCAAATTCGGAACATTTCAAAGGCAAGCAGTGGCAGAAATGGACATCTCAGAGAGCCTTCGTGGCGTTGTATATTACATCACACAGAGGTCACTTGGATGCAGTACAATACCTTCTAGAACATGGTAATTCTCATAGAAAGCTTAGCACATTCAAGGGTTGGGGTCTGTCGGGGCAGGGAGAACAGCGTGGTTTATCTGCCTGGTCTCTTTGACAGTGGTCTTCTGGCCCCACTTCTTGTCAGTCACCGATCATGGTCTCCATTGGGACTCCTGGTTTGGGAACGTTTCTTTAATGTGCCAGGTAGAGGCTGTGTCCCCTCTCTTGGCCAGGTCGCAATAAGATTCTTTCTGTTGCAGAGAGATGGAAGTTTCAGGACAGTAAGATACAGGGGGCAGCCAAAATGGTGTCTTAGGTCTTTCCAATCGAACATATGCTGAGAATATTCCCTTGTTGCTTGCGTTATTTCCAGCCCCACCTGGAGCTGAGATCCTGCAGTGGTCCGACAGGTGTTTACCCCAAGCCTGCACTGCTCTGTTGGTGGTTGGCAGGCTGGCCAGTCTTCTTTCTCTGCACATCTCGTTATTTTCCTCTGGAGACGTCTAGTCCAAACTGTCTTTTTATGTCTCCTCCACCAAAGGGCAAGTTTCTCTTTCTTTGAAGAAACAGAGTTTTGCCAGCATTGTCTCCAAATTAAGGGGATTGGCATGAGAAATTCTGTAGGAGCCCACTTCATCTTCCCTTGATGTTGTATATTTTTGGTGAAAGATGCCCACCGATTGAGGTGTAGACTAAGAACAATAGTCAATTGTTGCAGGCTCACTCCCACCCACCTTCTTCTCCGGAAAAAGGAGGAACGTGCTACATGATGTTTAGCCACTGGTTTGGGGCTCAAGGGGTCTTACCCAAGGGTCTGCCATATCAACTTGCCTTCCACTTAGACCCCTTTCTTTCCTACCTGTGTATGGCCTTGGCCCAGCCTCTCTCTACTCAGCCTCGGCTTCTACCAACCATGGTGGGAAGTCTCTTGGGCAGAGGACATCTGCGGAGGCTGATGGGGCCATGGGTTGGGTGCACTAACCTCAGCTACAGTTAAAGGTTGCCCCAACTGTATCCTTTCTCTTTCTTCCTCCCATGCATTCTGCGCTCCCCTCGTTGGAAGATGAAATATGGGCTCTCCACAGCCCAGCAGTCCTTTAAGCTCATAAAAAGTCATTTTTACCCTGATGGAGCTGTGACGTATTTGAAAGCACCCGTTAAAAAATTACAGCCGGCTTCACAAAGTTTTCTGTACTCGGCAGACAGCCTGCTGAGTGGGGGCGCCATGGCCGACGCCGGTGTTATGAGGACCTAGTTAAAACTTTTACCTCATCCACCAGCCATAGCTCATAACAGCTGTCTCCCGAAATGTCAGCTGGATTTAATTGAATTGCCTTGTTTTCTGTGTCATGATATTTGTTACCCAGAATTTGATTCAATTCAACAAGTCCGTATCGGACACCTGTCATTAGCCCGTCCACCTGCAGCAGGCGGTGAGGGATTCGATCGAAGTGCGATGTGACCATGAGTCAGCTGCCCGTCGTCTGTCATTTCCCGAGTGCCTGTCTTTTCCAGGCATCGCACTGCGTGCTGGGGATGAAAGCAGCCGAGATCAAAACAAGCATGTTGTCTGCCCTTCTGGAGCTGGTGAGGGGCTGCCAGCAAGTTATGACAAATATTTCCAGGGTCCCCCGTCTACAGGGTGCTCTGAAGGAGTCCGGGGTCCACTAGGCAACAGACAGGGGTCCGGTGGGGGCTGGATTAAGGACAGTTTTTTTGAGGAAGTGAATGGAATTTGAAGAAGGGTAATAGTTGGTCTGGAAAATAAGGGGCGAGAATGAGAGAGAAAGAGAGTTGCTAGCAAAGAGATCAGTGAGTGTAAAGGGCCTGGGGCAGGATATATTGAAGGAATAGAGAGAAGGCTGGTGTAAATGGGGCATGAGGGTGGAGGGGGCATCAGGGGGTGAGGCTGGAGCTGTAAGAACCTGGGCCGTTACCCCAAGGACAGTGGGATGCCAGTGAGGGGACCTGAGTAGGAGATCCATGTGGGCATTTTAGAAAGATCATTGGCTGCTGTAAGGGGATCAGGCTGAAGGCGAGGCAGCCTCCCTCGTTATTCTCGGCACAAAGGGATACTGTTGCCATCAAGTCGACTTTGACTCATAGGGACCCTACAGGACAGAGTAAAGCTGCCCCATAGTGTTTCCAAGGCTGTCATCTTTACGGAAGCAGACTCACATCTGTCTCCCTCCGAGAGGCTGGTGGGTTCGAACCGCCGATCTTTCAGTTAGCAGCCGAGCGCTTAAGCACTGAGCAAGCAGACGGGGGATAGTTGCTTTTATTTAAATTTTTTTCGTCGTGGTAAATATGTGTGTAACAAGATGTTTGACACTTCAACCATGTTCACTCGTACGGTTCAGCGGTGTGAAGTATGTTCATCACGTCGTTCAACTATCACCCTTATTTGTCCCGAATCCTATCATCACCCTTCACTGCAGCTCAGGGTCCCCTAAGGGCTGAGACCTCCAGGTAGAGGTGGGGTTTTAATTCTCCCAAGAATCCCCTTCACCACCTCAGCCTCCTCAGCTTTCTGTTCTGGAAGGTGTGTTCCACGGCCAGGAGGAGGGCCTTCCCGCAGCCTGCTTTCTTGTGTTACAGGCGCCAACTGTCTGAGCAAGTCGCCAGTCGGCAGGACACCCCTGCACGTGGCTGCGGCCATGGGCCGGGTGGACTGCATCAGCCTCCTGCTTGACTATGGTGCCTCCATCAATGACAAAGACGCAAAGGGGGAGACCCCCATCTCTATCGCCCGCCGCTTGAACCGCAAGCAGAGTGAGCGGCGGATGTTCCTAATCCACTGGATGGCTAAATCAGGAGCCACGAGCTCCGTGGACAAAGCCACGAAGAGGGTGTCCCAGCGGGCCAGGTCTGTGCCAGGCTCCAAGAAGCCCAACGCGTAGTCCCCACCGGGCCGTGCACGCATGAGCCTTGACTCGGGGACCCGACTCCACAGTGGCCCTTGGTCATCGCCACAACCAGAAAACATGGCAGTTCATCTGACTCAGGCTTGAAATGATCTGTCCTGTTTGCAAATGACCCTAGGAGGGTGTTGATGGAGCGGATCAGTTTGTGGTCATTTGGTAATCCATTATGGGCCTCTCTGGCTCCGATGGCGGCCCTTAATTCTCAGCTATTTCTGTGTTGTACCCAGGAGCACTGTTTGGGGTGATGGGAACCAATCACCTCCTCTCCCTTCTGGAGGGCGTCGAATGCATCGGTGTAACAGATGTAATAACAGTAATGACAATAGTACCATTGTTACTGTACAAAAGAAGTGCCCGTGGATGTCAGGAGGTCCTGCGCAGTGTGGGCTTGCGTTTCTGTTTGTAAAACCCACGGGACGAGGTGCTCCTACAGCTAATAATGCTCCAGAAGTTTCCTGGAGCCATCTCTGAGGGGTCTGCCTCTCGAGTTGGGCAGAAGTGAAGCTGGCGGTGGGGGCAGAGAGGAGCAGGGGGAGCTTGCTTCTCCAAACACGTTCTTCAAAAGGGGCACCTATTACCGAAAGATTGGTGGTTCAAACCTTCCAGCTGCTCCGAGGGAGAAAGATGGGGCAGTCTGCTTCTGTAAAGATTTACAGCCTAGGAAACCCTATGGGGCAGTTCTACCCGGTCCGATAGGGTTGCTATGAGTCGGAATCAAGTTGGTGGCAATGGATACACGTTACAGCAGCTCTAGGCTGCACGACTGTGCTGGCAGAGCCCTGCCCGCCCTGTGGACGATGAAGTGAGCTGGGTGTGGGGCTCAAGAGGGAAGGGTGAGGACTGGGGCAAACTGATGTGCATGCCCTTGTCTGAAGAGGCTGCTAGATCTTTCCAGAACCAGACATCTGGCTTTGTATGTGATCACTCCTGGTTTTTGAATGTTGGCTTGGGTTTTGGAAGTGCGTGATACGAAAAGGAATGAGAAGATGGGAGTTGCACTCAAGGGGCTGCCTGTCCTTGTCACACGCAAGTTCGTTTCACCGGGAAAAGTGGTGGTTGCTGTCAGTTGCAACTCATGGTGACCCCAAGGGTGCAGAGCTGACTGGCGCCCCACAGGGCTCTCAAGGCTGTGACCTTTCAGGGGCAGATCACCAGCCCTTATTTCCGAGGTGCCTCTGGGTGGGTTTGAATCTCCAACCTTTCCATTAGTAGTCCAACAATTAACCATTTTCACCACCCAAAGACTCCTGGGAGACTAACTGTCCTGACAGAGACTGGAGAAACCCTGAGAGTATGGCCACCGGACACCCTTTTAGCTCAGTAAAGAAGTCGCTCCCGAGTGTCACCGTTCAGCCAAAGATTAGATAGCCCCATAAAACAAAATGAGACTAATGGGGCACAACAGTCCAGGGACAAGGACTAGAAGGCAGGAGGGGACAGGAAAGCTGGTAATAGGGAACCCAAGGTTGAGAAAGAACAGTGTTGACATGTCGTGGGGTTGTTAACCATTGTCATAAAACAATATGTGTACTAACTGTTTAATGAGAAACTATTTGTTCTGTAAACCTTCATCTAAAGTACAATAAAAAAAAAAAAGAAAAAAAGAAAACCAAAGACTCCTGGGAAAAGTGGTAGAGACAACTGCAGACTCCCTGGAACATTCCATGGCTCTTCCTAGGTGATATGTATCGTCCACCTTCCCAGCCTCCAAAGGCCATTTATGTTTCTGTAAAGCCTTAAATCCTAATACAGTGGCCGGAACCGGAGTGTGCAGCCGTGGCCTCTTAAGCGGCACGGTTCCACGTTTAGAGTGACGGAGAACAGCACCGCCTCCTGGCCATCTTCTCTCCGCTTTGTGGCCCAATAACTGGCTTCTGCTTTTTAAAATTAATTGGCCGAATTTCCTGCCGTCATAGCAAGTAAGATCTGTGTTGATGATGTGGTTTTACACTCCATAGACGTGGCCATACCCAGCTCAGCAATCTGTTTGACAAATAATAGCGGAAAAAAATAGCTCAGCATCAGCTATGTCAAAACTGGGATCTTGTTTTTGGCAGACATTCTCCAAAGTCAATAGGCAGCTATTAAATTACCCCGTCCAACGGGTCAATTCATTTAGCTAATGGGGAGTGCTGGGAGGGGCACTGGGGGACTCTTTTAACTTAACAAGTGGCGTTGCTCAAAGTCATGTGCTTGCCAGGAGCTCTGCTATGCTGTCTTTGTGGTTAACATGCCAACAGCCTGACACCTGTCCCCAAAATTTTGGGGGCAAGCACTCTACTTCATATGCCCCCAATTAAACATTTAACATTCAGTTAAACACTTGGCCAGACATCTGGGCAGGTTCAGAACTCTCTGTGGTGGCATTTGGCTTGCTCTGTGGCTGGGTGATTTGAACAATCTTGTAGGTCTTGGGGGAAATCCTGCTGGCGCAGTGGTTAAGAGATTGGCTGCTAACCGAAAGGTCAGCAGTTTGAATCCACCAGGTGATCCTTGGAAACCCTATGGGGCAATTCTACTCTGTCCTATAGAGTCACTATGAGTCAGAATCGACTCGACAGCAGTGGGGTTTTTTTTTTTTTTTTTTTTTCTTTTGGGTAGGTCCTGCAGACTCTTGGTTTTAGAGAACCCTCTCCTAACACTCGTTCTATTGGAGTAAAACAAAGTTGTATCACACACTAAATAAAACGTCCACGAGCATAGGAGAGTTGACTTGCAATTGGTTGCAACGTGTAATGTTAACATGTATTTCATTAAACCTTTTATTGATTTTGAAGGTTTGTTTTTCATACTTTGGAGCCAACAAGAAAAACAAATTATGGAGGGGAAGGTCCACCTCATACAATTTTGTAGGATCCTGAAACCTCACAGACCCAGGGCACTGGGCAATGGGCCTTAATATGAAACATTCTGGCATCACCTCTGTGGGGAAGGCATAGGCTTCCTGCTGGGCTGTACTATCCAGGCTCTCTTCCCCTTATCTGGGATCCTCATGTGAGGCTGGCCGCTCAACCACCAGAACGCAAGAGCTCCCAGCCTAGTGGTGGAGATTCAGGGTTTAGGGTCACTGTGGACCTCAGACTGAATCTTGTGGCTCTGCCCTGTGGCCTTGAACGAGTTCCCTGCTGCTCCGAGCCAAGTCTCTTGTGTAAAGAAGGATGGAAAATCATCAAGGTACCTGGTCCCTACGGTGGTTGGGAGGACCTGGGAAACAGGAGGTACTCAATGTATGCTGGGTACTGTCATCTGGGAGCTTGGCTGGGAACTCTTGCTGAGGACATGGGTGAAATTGTTGATGTTTAAGAGCGATGGAAGAGACGAGAAACTTCCTGTGCCTTCCCTGGCGTTATGGATTGAATCGTGTCCCC